GCAAAACCTTTCACCCTCACTACACGTTTCACTCATGTTTCGCGCACCCGATCGATTCTCTGCTGGCGACCGTTGGCTGACGACATCACACGCAACTCCGCCCGAACGTACCAGTTCAACTCTCGTTCAGTGCAAATTCCTCAGGTGTAACTTATCTAATCTACTGCGGCTTGTGGCAAAGATTACGTCACGTATCGTACCATTCATGACGGTGGAAAATATATACGAATTAATACATTTTTTAAGCTAACGTTAATAAAAACTTTTAAATATTATTGTACCGAACAAAGCAAGTTATAACAAATTGAATGAAAATTAATTTAAAAAAAAATCATACTTTTGAAGAATCATCTTGGCTTTATTTCCCTTATTGTGGGTTTTATTGTGAATTATTCTACTGTAAGCTTAAAGCTTAATAATTTAAAACACTGGTAAACAAACACGTGCTTGACCTTGGTATGAGCAGTGATGTTATGGTGTGGGCTGCCAGCCAACTCTCTCTCTCTCTCTCCTCTCTCTCTCTCTCTCTCTCTCTCTCTCAATGGAAATAAGTCACTTTGACTTTTTTGGGTTATCCTAGGTAATTTACGAATATTACTATATATGTTAATTGTACTTATGTGTACCTGTACCTAAATAAACTCTCTCTCTCTCTCTCTTCTCTCTCTCTCTCTTCTCCCCTTCGTCTCTCTCTCTCTTTTTTCTCTCTCTCTCTCTCTCTCTCTCTCTCTCTCTCTCTCTCTCTCTCTCTCTCTCCTATCTCTCTCTCTCACACAATACCCCCATGGATACGGAGAAATTTATTGCACAATAGCTACAAAATACCTGGAACCAGTAAATTTTATCCCAGTACTGAAAAAGATGGCAGAGAGGTAATACTAAATTACAAGAAATAAATATCTCAAAAATAAAAGAATATCTTGCATAGTGATGGAAGGGATGCAAGAAAGAGGAGTTACAGGTAGAGCGCTAAATCCGCTGGGGTCATACAGTGCCTTGGAGAATGGGAGCAGAAGTGCCAGCTAGTGCTTGAGCGAGAGTCAGGGGTACCTTACCTGTGGTGGTGGAGACAGGTGAAGCCCCAGGGGAGAGGCAGTACCCACAGGGTGTTGCGTTTCAGGCTTCTGTTTATTTGGTTCAATAACCAGTTAGATTACTAGTTACAATTCTATCACTTTAGTGTAAATCGTATTCACAATAAGTTTTTTTTGCCACAATTATTGTATTTCACAGTATTTCACAATGCCTTAATTCACTTTCTCAGCCACACTTATAATGCTGTCGGTATCAATAATTCAGTTTCAGTGCGAGAGTGGCTACGGCTTGAGCTTCGTTATCAAGGTGTTTATCGTATCAGCTTCACAGGTATAATGTTGAGCGGTGAAGCCTCCAGCTTTTTATATCATGAGCCAGCCTGGTAACAAGACGATACGTTTGTGCTGGTTACACCTCCCTCGACCGCACTCGCAAAACGTTTCTGGCTGGCTGCCACTTGCTGGCGGCTGACGACACGGTCGACACCACGCCCACCACTCTCGCTAAACGTTCCACTCTACCCACTACACGTTTCCCCCACGTTTTGTCGCACCGAAACGTCTCCGCCTCACAACACACCCAATACCCTTCTAGCACCAGTTCAACTTGTGTTCACTACACGTTCCTCAGGTGATACTTGTTTAATCTACCGCTGCTTGAGACACATGTCCCTCGTTTGTCAAGAACATGATTTGTATCAATCATGCCTGAATTTAATACATGGATTTGTACAACACTTGACGAATTTTTTGATGCAGTTAATATTCATTGTAAATTCAGTTGTTCAGTGATGGATTTTTAACTTATTGATGAAATAGAAATAAAATACCGACAGCGTGACGGATTATTGTTGTAAACAAATACTGGCGATGAGGTGTGTAGCCATGGTGATGGTGAGGGATATTGGCCAGTCCTCTCTGTCTCTGTCTCTCTGTCTCTCTGTCTCTCTCTCTCTCTCTCTCTCTCTCTCTCTCTCTCTCTCCTCTCTCTCTCTCTCTCTCTCTCTCTCTCTCTCTCTCTAAGGATCTCACCTGAACTTTTTTCATTAAAGTCACCCGTTCAAAGACTCAGGAGCGGACATGGTTCCACTTCCCGGCTGTTGCCACTCCTGTTGTTGTTGCTACTCCTGTTGTTATTGTTGCTGCTGCTCCTGTTGCTGTTGTGTTGTAGTTGTTGCGGCTTCTGTTGCTATTATTACTGCCTGTTGTTGCTGCCTGCTGTAGTTATTGTTGCTCCTGTTGCTTCTGCGACTTTAAGTATATGTCCAGCTCCCTCTTGAAGGGAGCCAAGGGGTCTATTGGTAATTCCCCTTATGATTGGTGCAAGGCTGTTGAACGGTCTTGGGCCCCCGACACTTATTGTGTTTTCTCTTATTGTATCAATGGCGCCACTACTTTTCATTGGGGGAATTTTGCACTGCTTGCCCAGTCTTTTGCTTTCGTAAGGAGTGATTTTTGTGCAGATTAGGTACTATTGCTTCTAGGATTTTCCATGTGTAAATTATGATATATCTCTCTCGCCTGCGCTCCAGTGAGTACAAGTCAAGTGCTTCCAAACGTTCCCAGTAATTGAGGTGTTTGACGGAACTTATATCTGCAGTAAAAGTTCTCTGTACACTCTCTAGATGTGCAGTTTCACCTGCCTTGAATGGGGATGTTACTGTACAACAATATTCCAGCATAGAGAGAACAACTGATTTAAAAAGTCATCAGTGGCTTGGCATCTCTTGATTTGAACATTCTCATTATTCATCCTATCCTTTTCTTCGCAGATGTGATAGTGGCACTGTTGTGATCCTTGAAAGTGAGATCCTCAGACATTACCACTCCCAGGCTCCTCATTACTTTCCGCTCTACTGTATGACTAGAGTTGGTAGTATACTCAGTTCTAGTTATTATCTCCTCCAGTTTTCCATAAACGGAGAATTGGAATTTGTCTTCATTAAACATATTGTTTTCCGTTGCCCATTGGAAAACTTGGTTATATCTTCTTGGAGGTTAACCGTGTCCTCAATGATGACAGTCTCATGCAGTTCCTAGTAACGTCAGTAAAGGAAGACTCGGTGTGCTATGGATTACATCTCTATGTTTGATATGAGGATGAGGAACAGGATGGGGAGAATACGGTGTCTTGTGAAACAGAGCTTTTCACGATTTAACTCTGTTTACCACTATCTTTGTGTTCGATTGCTTAGAAAGTGGAAGATCCATTACACTACTTTGCCAGTTATCCCTTTAGTACGCATTTTGTGTACTGTTACACCATGATCGCACTTGTCTAAGGCTTTTGCAAAGTATGTGTATACTGCATCTGCATTCTGTCTGTCTTCCAGAGCCTCCAAGACCGTATCATAGTGATCTAGTAGTTGCAAGAAGCATTAGCGACTGCTCTGAGGACTGGAGAGGACTAATCTAATTCTCTCTGACATCAGTAAATCTGCCTCTGTTGTCTGTTATGACAAAAGAGCGAAACTTTTTCTCATCTGTAGCTTTTTGTGCGCCTTTTTTTATACATAAGTGTCAGTTCAACATTTAGGTCCAGGACAAAAGGGTGTTTGGAGCCATTGGTAACAGATTTTCACCATTCAGGTCCAGGATCAAAGGGTCTTTGGAGATACGGGTAACAGTTGTTCATCAGTTAGAGCCAAAGACCAAAGGGTCTTTGGAACCATTGGTATGAGATTTTCCCATTCAAGTCTATAACCATAAGGTCTTTGGAACCAATGTTAACAGATTTTCACCATTCGGGTCCAGGACCGTAGGGTCTATGGAGCCATTGTTAACAGTTTTTTCACCATTCAGGTCTAGGACCAAAGGGTCTCTGGAGTCACTGGCATGAGATTTTCACTATTCAGCTCCAGGACCAAAGGGTCTTTGGCAGCTGGGCTCAAGCTTCGTCGCTCTGAAACATGAAGGTAAAACTTTCTTAAGTGGCAGCTTTGAAGCTCTTGAAGCAGAGTTTCCAACTGGCTCCTGTAAAACATCTTGCTTATAATTGTGTTATGCTAGAGAGAAAGAGAGAGAGAGAGATAGATAGAGAGAGAGAGAGAGAGAGAGAGAGAGAGAGAGAGAGAGAGAGAAAGTTGACGTTTGGAAAGGCAGTTAAATTCTACGGAGTAAGCTTGTCTTTGTCCTCTGTTTCAAGTCGCGAGTGCATAGCAAAGCTCATCTTGGTACTCTCGGGTGTTCTAGGGTTCCCAGGTTCTAGATAGTATCTTTTAGTTTCTTTAAGCTTGTTCTTTTAGTTTATTGTTCCTAAATTTAATGTTTAAACATAATTTTGGGGGCGAATTCCATGGCCGCAATTGAAGAAATATTCATAATAATAATAATAATAATAATAATAATAATAATAATATAATAATAATAATAATAATAATAATAATAATATAATAATAATAATAATAGTGATGATAATAAAAAGTGACAATAATTATATTAATAACAAGTGATCATAATAATACCCACGTCATTTATCTCACGAGCAATTATGACTTCTCAAGAATGTAACTTGTTTTGTAGTGGTAACCCAGGTGCAGGGATTGCCACCTGTCAACACCTGCAACATTCGGTAACGTAGTGTGGAATGAAACAGTCTTAAGTGGATGGAAAAGAAAATGAAAATACAAGTTATAGAATGGGAAAAAAATGACAGTTTGTAAAGTGGAAGTCAAGTGAAATCTATTAGATTTTTGTAAGTAGATATCTTGAAACATTCACTGTCACGCACTTGTTGCTGTATATACCCGAGTCGATACGCTTAGTTTCAAACTTATTGGACACCATTGCATATATATACTTTATTGTAAGAACTCATTCCAGTGGTTTGTTTTGCTTTCACAGTGGTTAAGTTTATCAGTAATTGGTTTCAAGTTTTGCAGTCTTATCCTGGTCCTAATCATCTGATAAGAGATTAGATAGAGTATCTGTGGCGGGTGTTGTGATGATTGGAGTGGTGGTGGTGGTGACAGCAGGGGCAGGGTGAAGTGGTGAAAGGCTAGAGAAACTTGTGGGTGGTGGCTGGGGCTGGCCTTGAGTTGGCTGGACGTGTACTGGACCTGGTGAGTATAGTGTTAGTGGCGTCGATGCGCCGCTGCTGCTGCCGCAGTGTGAAGTTAATATCACAGTGAGGTGTTGGTGCTCTCTCGACCTGTTAAGCGATATTTTGAAGGGTGTAGCTTTCTTAAACGGTATGTTTGTGTGTGATACTGACACGGTATTGATTACGTGTTGTGTGTGATACTGGCACGGTATTGATACGTGTTGTGTGTGATACTGGCACGGTATTGATACGTGTTGTGTGTGATACTGACACGGTATTGATACGTGTTGTGTGTGATACTGGCACGGTATTGATACGTGTTGTGTGTGATACTGACACGGTATTGATACGTGTTGTGTGTGATACTGGCACGGTATTGATACGTGTTGTGTGTGATACTGACACGGTATTGATACGTGTTGTGTTTGATACTGGCACGGTATTGATACGTGTTGTGTGTGATACTGACACGGTATTGATACGTGTTGTGTGTGATACTGACACGGTATTGATGCGTGTTGTGTATGATACTGACACGGTATTGATGCGTGTTGTGTATGATACTGACACGGTATTGATACGTGTGTGTCATACTGAAACTGTAGTGGTACTGTGGTGTGTGGTACTGACACGGAATTGATACGTGGTGTGTGATACTGACACGGTATTGATACGAGGTGTGTGATACTGACACGGTATTAATACGTATTGTGTGTGATACTGGCACATGACGTGTGTGATACTGAAATGGTAGTGACATGTGTGGTATTAAACGGTAATGATACATGCAATACTAAAACGGTAATATTGTACGTGGTACTCAAATATTAGTTTTACGTAACCTTTTGAAACTAAATTACGTGTGTGGGCTGAAACTACCGGTACGTAGCGGTGTGGTAGTGAAGCCGTGGTGTTGCAAAACTGTGCAGTAGCGAGTGATGAGATATAATACAGCGAAGTGAACATACTTACCTGGAGAGAGTTTCGGGGGTCAACGCCCCCGCGGCCCGGTCTGTGACCAACTACAGTGTGGTACTTAAACTAGTGTTTGTTACTAAACTACAGTGTGTGTTACTTAACTATAGTGTGTGGTACTTAAACTAGTGTTTGTTTTCTTAAAATACAGCGTGTGTTACTTAAACTACAGTGTGTGGTATTTAAACTACAGTGTTGGTACTTAAACTAGTGTTTTTTTACTTAAACTACAGCGTGTGGTACTTAAACTAGTGTGTTACTTAAACTACAGTGTGTGGTACTTAAACTACAGTGTGTGGTACTTAAACTAGTGTTTGTTACTTAAACTACAGTGTGTGGTACTTAAACTACAGTGTGTTACTTAAATTACAGTGTGTGGCACTTAAACTACAGTGTTTGTTGTTTAAACTGCAATGTTTGTTACTTAAACTACAGTGTGTGGTACTTTAAACTAGTGTGGTACTTAAACTACAATGTTATTTAAGCTAGTGTGTGGTACTTAAACTACAGTGTTTGTTGCTTAGACTACAATGTTTGTTACTTAAGCTACAGTGTTTGTTACTTAAACTAGTGCGTGTTATTTAAACTACAGCGTTTGTTACTTAAACTACAGTGCGTTACTTAAACTACAGTGTGTGGTACTTAAACTACAGTGTGTTACTTAAACTACAGTGTTTGTTACTTAAACTATAGTGTGTTACTTAACTACAGTGAGTTAGATAAAATAAGATTTCGTTCGGATTTTTAACCCCGGAGGGTTTAGCCACCCAGGATAACCCAAGAAAGTCAGTGCGTCATCGAGGACTGTCTAACTTATTTCATGGGGTCCTTAATCTTGTCCCCCAGGATGCGACCCACACCAGTCGACTAACACCCAGATACCTATTTGCTGCTAGGTGAACAGGACAACAGGTGTAAGGAAACGTGTCGAAATGTTTCCACCCGCCGGGAATCGAACCCGGGCCCTCGTGTGTGAAGCGGGAGCTTTAGCCACCAGGCCACCGGGCCTGGTGTGTGGTACTTAAACGTTTGTACATTTTTAACTCTGAGCATTTCAATGGAAGGTGCACAGTGTGTGGTACTAATTGAAAATGATATATTGTATGGTGATAAAAACAGATGTGGTGCAGTGCGTAGTTCTGAAACAAAGAGGTACAGTGAATCTATTTATCCTCTTATCAGAGGAAAATCCCATAGTGAGAGCATATACAACAATAATTTCTTCTACTTCACTATATGAACCAGCCTGGGAGGTTTCCTTCAGCGTGTACAAACACTACACACATGATAATACATTCAAGAACAAAAGAGCACATTACCGTGACTGGAACAATATACAAATAACTCGTACATATGACAGCAGAGATAACGACGACGTTTCGGTATAAACCCAGTAAAACTTATATTAAACAGATAACCAAATTTAAAATTCATCCACAACACATCAAAAACACGAAAGCATGCACTTGGGTTCCTCTCCTGAATGTTGGCTTGTCATGAACTGTTCCATTCACGGTATTGTGACTTAATGTTCTTCATCAGCTGCAGCACTTTTGGTAATACAGTGTGTAGTCAGTTGCAGGCAAGTGATGTTGCAAATAGTGATTAACACCGACAAGTTTGTATGAAACAAATTCGCAATGACTAGGACATTTTATGAAGAAAATGTCCTGGTACTTCGTATGTGTCTTGCTTGCATCTAGTTCCAGTTTTCAAATCTGCATACAAATCACATACAAGGTGAATATGAATTGCCTAAGGAACCTTTGAGAGGTATCAATTTTGGCTGGATCTGATGGCCATGGAAGAAGGCATTTTCTAGGAGGCAGTGTCACTTGGCACTATCCAGTAGTGTTTACCTGGAGTTTACCTGGAGAGAGTTCCGGGGATCAACGCCCCCGCGGGTGTGTCAGTTGTCGTGCAACAGTTTGCTGACAGTGTTATATTGTTCTACAGAATTTTCAATTATCCTCAAGAAAATCTGATAATGCGTGGCAATTTCCTTTTCCAGGTTCTTGACATTAGTTTTCTTGGCCTGAAATCAATTTCACTTAAACTGCATCTCATCCAGGCTGAAGTGCAGATGTAATAGGAAGTGGCATTCTGTCACTGCAGAGTGCTTAACAAGGTTCAGTACTAGTGCCACTTCCCTTGAAACTTCAGAACCTCTTCAGGCTTAAGATCATCTGCACAGTAGATTCCTTTAACTTCTAGTCCATCACCTTTGCCAACATTTCAAATTATCCCAGGTATGTCTCCCACAAAACTATTTAATCAACCTCTCCTTTTTTGTGTATCATTGCTAAGAGACACAACAATATGAATAAATATTTATTACAATTTATTTTTGTTATACGACTTTCACTTATTTATATTTCATGTCATACATGTTTCTGATGACGTTTCGTGTAAAACAGAATGGAGGAAGGAGCTACAGGTGGTATGGAATGTGAGGAGGAGGAGCAGAACAAGGACGCAATTAACCTGCGTCAGTGTATCAGCCAGGCTCTCAAGACCTCAGTTAGAGATGCGCTGGCGCTCCTCTATCGTGAAAGGTGATAACTGTCATGCACTTGGGGATAGTGTGAGAGCTACCATGCACTAAGGGGTATGTGAGAGCTTTCATGCCGTAGGGTTATTGTGAAAGCTATCATGTACTTGGGGATATTGTGAAAGTTTTCATGTTGTAAACTGTTTTCCCTTTGGAAGGAGGGAAGGGGAGGCAGGAATTAATTGACGGAGGGCGCTTCAGTTGTAATATGCAGTATTATTACATAAAAATTTTAATAGTATTTTTATTATTAGAACATATTATTTTGTACCGAAATAGAGTCAGCATGCTTTTACTGCAGTATATTAACCTTGATTATCCATATAACAAAGATTCCCCATGGCACACCCTAACACACGGCCTTATGATGTACTCAACGCTCACGGCTGGGCTCGTACACTGCTCAAGCGTAATCCTCAAATGAGTGAGAGGATCAAGGAGAACATTGTGGACAAGCTGGACGTGTCAGCCTTGGCATTTTGCTGCGTTATGGATGTGGGCTGTCAACAATGATAAGATGTGGAAAAATCCCTTTAGTTTAGAAGGTGAGCAGTTAAAATATAGTTGGGCTGTGTGAGTATGTTTTGCAAGTGTGTCATCTGGCAGATTAAAAGATAAGTTCAGTTTCTTTCATAGAACCCTTCAGGGTAGGATGGAGGGACAAGAAGGAATGCTTACAAAGGGCTCTTTATCTGAGGAACTGAAGTTACCCTATTCTGAATCACACCTCATTACCTCCCATGATTACTGTATTTTTCAGAATATAAGGCGCGCCTTTTGTTCCCACAAAAAAACTTGGAAAATCACCTTGTGCCATATGCTCAAGGTCAGACTTAAGGCGAAGGGTAGTCCTTTAGTTACGCTTTATCCTACAGTAAGAGTAATTAGCCCTTGCATACAATTACCGATTATCGTTATGATACTTGTCGTGCGTCTTATATACCGGAAAATAAGGTGTATAAAATGCATTCACAGTAATTGTACAGTGTACTAAGATTAATCCAATTGTAAGGATTTATCTCATCTATATGGGTGGGAAGGTTTTAACGGTTATAAAAGTTTCTTTAATTATTTTATGTTGCAAGTTCTTGTGTCTGCATGACAGTCTCATCTCTTCTGTATTGAATTTTTTTTTTAATACTTGCAATAGTTCCTTTTTGCATATTGTATCTGGCCACTCTTGGCTGTGATCGGAATCCACCTCATGTGATCAGAATTTTGTTAAGAAAAATGAGACACAGGGTTTTATCATTGGCTGCTGAAAGAGGATCAGTGATGTACAATTAGGGGTACTGTTAAGACCCTCTGATGGGGATCCTGTGTGATTTCATCTCTATGGTCAGGACTGGATAATTGCGTAAATAACCCACACTTAGGAGACTAAAACTTATGATGACATGTTGGTTTGACTTGGCTCGGTCTGATTTGGACCATTAACTAGACACACTGGTTAATGGTCCAAGAATGATTGCAGTCTGGCAGTCATGATGTCACAAACTGTATATTATTGTTATTATAATCAAGGGGAAGCGCAAAACCCGGAGGATTATACAGCGCCTGGGGGGGGGGGATGTGGAAGGCATTCAGGCTTAATTCGGGGAACTGGAGCACAGATCCAATTCCCTAAATCAAGAGCCCCTCACCAACATCAAGGAACCTTCCTTGAGGGGACAAACTGTATAACGAGGCATAGCAAGGCTGTATAGTGTAGCAGTTAACTACAGTCAGGGATACATAGCTGGGGTCTTCATTCCAGTATTCTCATTAGTGCTTATCTTCTCTCAACTCATCTCTTAGGACCAACCTCTGACTCTGTATTGAAGTGAGCATGTGGGCAGCTCTAGGTCTGACCACCACCTCTAGAGGACTAATTTTTGTTACCTATAAAGGCATCACATTTATAGGGAATATTCAGAAGCTGCGTGATCTACGGAATGAGGATGCTCACTGGACACAAACGACCTGCTCTAAAGATGATCTAGAGACCACCTGGATGCAGCTGGTTGAGGCTGTAAGAAACGTCCTCCACCTGGGTGGCCTTACCAAACATCAGCCCAAATCATGCAACACTGAAAGACATTATTCCACTCATCCGTGATGTACCTACAAAAGTGAGTGCCTCTCAGTCAGTACAATCCCAAAATTACAGAAGCATACAACAGAGCAGAGTTTATTATCAAAATCAAAAAGGGTTATTTGCCAAATTTTTCTTTTTTTTTCATATACGTAAACAGCATTCTGAGAAACAGTTAAATAGCAGGTATATCTTTTTGATTAGTGGAAGGAGGATCGAGCCTTCACAGTGTTTTGTGCTGATTGACCCAAATGACCCCACACTGATTTAGAGTTTAAATTTACAAAGTAAATAAAATAAGCCAAGCTCACCAATAAGATTAATAAGAATACACAAGCAAGACAGAAGTACTTTCCCTGACGTTTCTAAGTGAACAATGAGTTTTTTCCAGCTGGCCCACTGTTCTTGGTTAATACCATTAAGCAATGTATAAAGAAAAAATTAGTCTCATACTGTATTCTAGCTCTAAATAATGCAGCTGTTTCAGTCTCAAAGTTGCAAGAGAAGCTTTGTCGTTGCAAGAGAAGCATTCTGTCGTTGCAAGAGAAGCTTTGTCGTTGCAAGAGAAGCTTTGTCGTTGCAAGAGAAGCTTTGTCGTTGCAAGAGAAGCTTTGTCGTTGCAAGAGAAGCTTTGTCGTTGCAAGAGAAGCTTAGTCTCTCAGTTGCTCTTGTCTCAGCATTCACTGCTCCTTCAAATACACAGAAATCTATCATCTGAAAATACTGTAGGAAATGAAGTGTCATATACAGTCAATGTAAAAATTAAACTACATATGTGTATTCATATGTAAGTTTAAAATAATTTAAAAAAATAATAGAAGTAGAAATGTTAGTTAAATTAATTGTAACCATAAGTAATGATCTGTAAAAGTGATCACATATGGAGAATTTTCACTCCCTTCAGAAAAGATCCGGAATGACTTCTGGACACCTACAGGAATAACCGCAAGACAACACTGATGCCTCTCTTATGGGCCGGCAAGGACTATGACTATCACCACCACGTCAGCAAGACTTACACCAGCACCAGATTCACAGTTCTTAATGATGGGTGAGTTTACTTACACCAGCACCAGATTCACAGTTCTTAATGATGGGGGTGAGTTTACTTACACCAGCACCAGATTCACAGTTCTTAATGATGGGTGAGTTTACTTACACCAGCACCAGATTCACAGTTCTTAATGATGGGTGAGTTTACTTACACCAGCACCAGATTCACAGTTCTTAATGATGGGTGAGTTTATTTTAGGGCAGGTACACATAAGTACATTATATACATAGTGTAAATGATCAAGATTACCCAAAAAAGAGTCAAAGTTACTTATTTATTCTTTGTGGACTCTCATTGTTGCTATTTTTTTATGTTGGATAATTTGTTTATCCATAATTAGCTAAAGTTCACTGGAGAAAAGTATAATATGGTGATTCAAGTTATTATTATCCAGCAATTGCATTTTTTTCCACAATTTCAGTAAATTTTATAATCTGCAGCTACATATTCCAAACTTAAAAGGGCATCATACTTCTTAAAAATATCAGCGTGAATATTTTGAATTCAGAGAGGCATATGCTTTAGGGAATGGAAATTAGTATCACTGTTTAATCAAATTGGCAAATTGGAACTTTTGCTGGAAAACACACCAGGGTTGAAGTTTTACTGAAAGAGGCATTCTCAATTTATGCATGGAGGCTAACAATTCCAAAAAAAATTTAACTCCAGGTGGGTCCTGCTTATTTCAGCAGGTTAGTTTTTGGCTGCTGCTGTTAAGTAAAAATCACTGTAAATTGAATCATAGTCTTTTCTCACTTCAAATGCATATAAAAGCTTGATAATATGTTTTAACACTATTAATATTTAAGTGGACATAGAGTTAGGCCTACAAATGCATAAACAGTACACACATTACTTACCTTAAACTACTTCCATCCTTAGCTTATAGTAGCAGTGAATATATTGTAGGAAGTCTGAATAAATGAAGAATGGGTATAAATAAAGACCAGTGCATTCGAAACACTGTAAAGTGAAACACTGTAAAGTGAAACACTGTAAAGTGAAACACTGTAAAGTGAAACACTGTAAAGTGAAACACTGTAAAGTGAAACACTGTAAAGTGAAACACTGTAAAGTGGGGCCTACCCGTGTTTTAGTAAAAATGATAAATTCGCTTGCATATAAAGTTTAATGGTATATCCTGGTCATAATGTGCATCATCTCATAGCTCGATCACTAGCGCACTCAGTTCACACACTGAGCTCCACTGGTCGATCCCCAATACAGCTGGAAAACATTAGGACATGTTTCCTTAAAATACCTGCTGTCCAGTTGTCAGCCATCAATAAAATGTATACCAGGGTGTTAGTTGATTTGTATAGATCGCATCCTGGGACAAAACTGATCTAATTTGCTCAAAATGCTGCAAAAAAGCAATAAATGACATGCCCATGCAATCGCCCCAAGCTCAGACTTGTGGGAACTTTGTGTTCATCAAGAACTGCAAGATGCCCCCTTTTATGTGCCT